CGACCACAACCCCTCCACCCTCCCTTTCCCCCCCCCTCTCCCCCGCAGCGCCTTCTCAAACCTGGAAGCGCCCTTCAGTCCCACGGAATTCCTCGCGTCGCTGCGGAACAGGCACCAAACGCTGGAGGACCTGCGTGGGGAGTTGCGCGCGCGGAGCAAGGACCTGGAGCGGGAGTTGGTGGAGCTCGTGAACCGGGATTACGCCGACTTCGTCGGACTGGGGGGTAGTCTTCGGGGTGGGGATGGGCGGGTGGTGGATCTCCGGATGGGCCTTTTGGGGTTTCGCAGGGAGGTGGGGGTTATCATGGGGGTCGTCGAGGGGGTCAGGAGGGATGTGGAGGTGCAGGTTAGGAGGAGGAGGGTGGTTGAAGGTGGGAGGGTATGTTGATTTTTTATTATTATTATATCTGTCCTGGCGAGGAGAGAGGAGGTGGTGGGGCTAATTCGTGAGTGGGCAATTTAGATGTTGGCTAAAAACCTTCTGACGCTATCTTATCGCCTCGACGAATTATCCACTTTACTACTTATTCATCCTCCCTGCACATCCCCCCCCCTCGCCGCCGCCACTACAACGACCGCGATACCCATTCCTAACTTTGATCAGGATGCTCCGGGTCCCGGTGAATCCTCGACCCCCGGTATCCCCCGCCTGTCCAGGATCGTCCTGGGGTACTTGTTCCTCACGAGAAATCTGCTCCCGAAGTTACCGCAGCAGCACCCGTTCGTGAAAATGCAAATTCCGAGGATCGAAGCAGTCCGCAAGACACTGTTGTTAGATTTGGATAGCGCGCTGAAGGAGGCTAGGTCGAGTAAGGACTCGGAGAAGGTTCTCGTGTTGCTGGGATTTTACGCCGATTTGGGCGCGGAGGCGGAAGGCGTTCGTGCCCTGAAGGAGGGGGGAAGATGGGGAAGTGATGGTGATGGTGGCGATGACGATGGCAATGGTTAGGTGTTGGTGTTTATTAAGCTTAATTAGGAGTGTGGGAGGAGGGGGGTTGGTATTGGGACATTTGGCAAAAGGGGTCATGGTGATAGGAATGTTGGCATGGCGTTAGTATTATGCTTGGTGATTAAAGGTGATGGGGTATACTCGAGATTTGAAAGCCGTTAATAGGGCTTTTTCTAGTCTCGGGTAAATAATGGCCGTACTGTACTTAGCATCATAGAACGGCATGCTCTCTTTTTTTTTCTTCACATAATACAGAATCCACAACGTATAATAATGAGACGGAAAAATGATTATCTGATGGGTCCAAGCGCCGAAACCAGCACCCCTCACCCCCTCCGTTACCCCACCTCAAGTGCGCCTAAGACTAGCTACACTCTCACATCCCTATCACAGAATATCACACACTCCCCGACTTCACATTTAAGGACGATATTGGCTCTCCGGGACGCAGGGCTGAGGTATTGTCATTAATCTTCAGCCCATGAGCGCATAGTGTCGGGAGCTGTGTCAAATTCCATATGCTATCATGGCTAGTGCGCGATAATGTGATATACCCACCATAGCCCCCAAACTTTTAACGCTCGGGATAGAACCAAAAAGGTCAAGGGGGTTTCATTAACCCTCTGTGCTGTGGGGGTGGTTTGCAGGGGAAGAGACCCGTGATTGGAAGTATGGACGGAGGGGGGTGCACTGGGCGGCGGTGTTACTTTGGTGGGTGCTATATATGGCGGAGGGGGCAAAGGATTCTGGATAGAACTTTGAAATTGGTTGTAGTTTTCTGGATTGGGGAGAGGAACGAGCAAAGTTGCTAATGCGCGGGTCCGGCATCAGTTTCCAACGTAGTCGTGTCGGTCGCCGGACCGGGGGGATAGCTCCCCAAAATCCCCATCACAGGCGGCGACAGAGAGGTATGAGGAGTCTCAGTGGAGGTTGCAATAGTAAGATAGGGCATGATGTAGTAGTAGCCCACTACGAGCACTGTTATGTACTGTTACCGGTATTTAGGTTACCGCGATTGTGCATGCCATATATATGGGACTCGTACCGTATAGTACTGTACGGCAGTGGACTAAGTTAGCAAAACTAGCCCCCGGTCTCGTAAAGAAAGTAATGTGGCATGCAAGAAAGATCAAGAAACATAGAGAAAGTTAAGTTTAAGTTAGCCATACGTTTCTTGGTAAAACCCCGGCTGTCGGAAGTAGCCATATTAATGATATGTGTGTGTAGGCGCAGTGCTGTATTGTTACTGTCCCTATACATTGCTGGATCTCGCCAAGGGCCATGAGACATGGGGTGCGGTATATGGATTGTTGATGTTCACCAGTCTTGCTTGGGTGACGGTGCAAGGTATATTGGTACTAGCAGTGTCAAAGCGCTTTTAGGAAGGAACTGCTATTGCATACCGCCTACTAGATCTAGGCGGAGGGGCCAGTTTTTGGTGGCATTCGATGGCAGTTCTTTCCAAAACGCTTCGACATTACGAGCGTACGGTATCGGCACGGTTGTAAACGGCATCTCTGCTCTGCGGGAGGAGCGGGATAGTGACCGGGTTGCACTCACAAACTTTCATGTATGGTATGATAGCCTGACATGTACTATGGGTACAATACTCGCACGGGACTCGTACAGCAAGAATACTTTCCACCAGCAGCCCGACAAACAAGTTTATCTTAGCCCGCACGAAGAACCTAACCAGTGAGGGCGTCTGTAGGCGCGTTCGTGCCATGTCGGCATGGTAGCTTAAATTGCTTCCTACTGAGATCGCGAAACAGGTTTGGCAGGATGCGGACGGTAGTCAATATAACACGACATTTCTCAAGTTGGGGTAAAATAGGGAAGACTAGGAGCAAGAATGTAAATAGATGAGGGGGGGTGGGAACCTGACTTTGGTCTTGAAGATCGGTAGGAAGACAAGATCCCTGCTTTACCGCCGATCCCATAACATGTTTCACGGAAGGAGAGTGGGGGTTGAAAGGAAGGAAGGGCGGAGGCACCTCACCCTTTAGACTAGGGATATATTCCTGGAGTTAGACTATCCCCCTCGGTGCCTCTGATAACTACCGTGATTATCCGAAGGCCGCCGTAAACGCTGTGCGGTGCTTCTAAAAAGTGAAGGGGGGGAGGAGAGACCTCCTGCAGTATAGTTATCAAGAAGTGTTACGAGGCAATTGTGGTGTGCCAGTCAGTGTGGTGATTCGACAATATTTTCCTGGGGGGTGAGTATTTCTGAAGAGAACAGGGGGTTGAGAAAAAAGAATATTCCGCTGTGCTTGTCCTCAATGCAGGTATAGACCAATAGACACCGCAGTCTCTTGATGTCAACCGCGCACAAATCCCTTGTATGTTGTCTAATTCGCCCAGGGATTCTCAGAATTTTTCTTGATGGCGTCTCGAAGGGATTTGAAAGCCGGCCCCAACGATCTGTTTTTGTAGGCAAGGAAAAAGAAAGCAATCGGTAGTCCGCCCTTCGAGAAACTCGGACGAACCGCTATGGAAGACACTTTGAATATAGAGGGGAGGACCTAGATGTGGCCATGTGATGAATATGGAGAAGAAGGTATTTCCCGTACGTGGAAGGTTCGCGAGTCATTACCAATTCAGGACTGGCCGATTGAGGAAAAAGTGTGTCCCGGGTATTCATTGCATGCCTCGAAGAAGCAAAAAAAAAGAGACCTGGCGGGATAGGTGCTCTCCATGCATCGCAGATTTGGGGGATCACAAAATTGAGCACAAAGGGATTGAAGGAATAAGATGAGGGGCCGAATATAGCCCATAATTCCAAGCACCGATACCGGTATTTCGCCCAGCGGGAGGCCATGATGCAAGAGAGAGTCAATTCTTATAATGAAATGAGAGGACTTATGCAAAAAATGAAGAGAAAGGAGACTCGGTAGAAATGAAACTTTTTCCCCACGGGAATCCACACCATTAGACCCACATCCGCCCCTGATTCGCCGCTCCATCAATACCTCCCTATCAACTGCATCCCGAAGCTCCGAACGAACGAGAATGCTACATCGTTCATGCAAAGGGTGACGGGGTGCAACGGCTAGTGTGGGTCCTTGCACTCTGCACACGACCCAGGAGCTATCACGAACTCTTCGTGAGGGGCTTGCCCGCAACTTTTGCCAGTCCCAGATTCTCTACCAGCGCAATGTTTTCTGCGTTCCCGGCAATCCGCGTAGATGAAATAGGTGATGATAAATGAGCACATGGTTGGTGAGTGTGTTTAAGGAGGTATGATCTTTGGATCTTCTAGGAAACGACCGGGTTAGAGCTGTGTAAATACCAAAATGCATGGTAGATGCAGTTCTAGCAAAGGTGAAGTACCTGTCAGCCTTGCTCTAAGCCTTCTTTCTGGTTGTCTCTTGGAATTGACGGATGCTTTGTGGGCGAGTGCTAGTGTTGAGAGGGTGAGCATCGGATTTGCTGCAAGAGGTCCTCTCTTTTATAATCAATAGATACCATAAAATAATGTGGGTAAGGATATTGGGCTGATGCCCACGCTCACGCCCATGATACAGTCATTTAGAGACATGGACTGCCGGATGGCATCATTTTGATCTCGAGCTGAAAGTTTGAACGGAGCCTTGCTCCCTAAGGGCTTGAGCTCGATATCAGCTTCAGGATTGGCGGGAGAGCTCGCCCCAAAACTTGAAGACGTAAGATAGAAAGCTCAATGCATGGGTTGGCTCATCCTTCCTTGAGCTTTGGGGCATAATACACTTAGCGGCAGGCTCGGGATGCAAGTCGCCGGGACAGAGCCCATACATCCCCCAAAACAGGACCAGGTTTCAATCATCGGTTCTGTTTGGCCATCCCACTAGGCCACGCTGCAGACAGAAACTAGACCCATAACGTGGGGAGCTGGCTTTGCAGCTGCAAATCGGTATGGAGGAGCAAACATAACCCAGAGCACATCATAAGTAGCGATCTGTGGCCCCTCTCCCAGTAGCTCTGGAAGGATGGTCTAGAAGAAAGAAAAGTGGGTTCTAGAACTTATTCACGCATTATGCGAAGAGAAAGAAGCGAGATGTGATCCTACCGGCTGCAAAACCGTTAGACCAGCTGCTGCAAGTGTTAACAAAATGCATACCAACACCCCGGTTGCTATTCAGTGTGGGGACACAGCCAAGTCTGAGGAGCTGACAGAGGGACTTTCTAACTTTCAGAGATTTCTCAATGAGGCTGCGAGAAAAGACACCCATGGGGTTTTTCTGTTACATAAAGAAATGAGAAAGATTATGGCCAGAAATCTCTCCTCTTTGATCTACTCGAACCTTTTGAAGTAGATTCCCCTGTTAAAAGTGATCGGAAATTGGGTTGAGGCATTCCGTGAATATAGTCGTACTTTCCCCTTCTTTGTCTTTATTTCTCTGTTCGCCTACCCCTTCCCCAGGCCTCAATCATCTGGTCCCGGTTCTGACGTGCAAGTAGACTGATTGTCGAGCTGGTGCTCAAGCTAGTTGGCTTCGCGGATGATACGCTTTCCCGAGATCCAATCCCGGATGCTCATGTTTTCGATAGCTACGGATAAAACTTAGAGCCTAGCGATAAGAGGACCCCGGATGGCATTGCCGCTCAGGAGCAGGTGCAAAAGCAGCCGACATGGAGACAACCCGATGAGCCTAGAGGCACGATGTATGTGAATATAAAGATGACTCTGATGAGTGGAGAGACGAATGGTGTTCGATGAGCAGGATGGGGTGCGTCGCTGGCATGCACACAATGCATGGAAGGGAGGTGTGTGAGGGGAAGCACAAGTAGGTTCGGGAAGAAATTTTTTTTTTTTTTAGGGCCTGGGCTGAAATGTACCGTAGTCCAGGGATCAAGATGGAATCAGTACGGCACTCGAATCCAACGAAAGTGCATGAAAAAAGAAACAAAAAGGGAAAAGGATGGTATCATACTTGTAAGGGCGGACTGCACAAAGAAGATGACAATGAATACAATCCAGCAGTCTCCGGAGGTTGGGAACAATTGGCTGTGGCTGGAAAACCGAGGGTAGCTAGCCAGTGAATTGGACGCTTACTCGATTTCGAGTGGCTGGCCCTGCAAGGGGCCAAATAGATTCTAGTCGCCACGACAACCAAATCACCTGCGCCGTCCAACCCCCTAAATTCTCCGCAGGTAGAAACCCAACAAGCGAAGGGTACAATAGGAAGAGCACCGAGAGAGAGCTGAGACCGAATGTGCGGAAACCAATATCTGGTTGGACGGGAGCAAGGAGAGAAATAGAGAGAAGGAACGAGGAAAAAAAAAAACCCACGATAACCAACCCTTTTCCTTTTAAACCATACTTATACCATCGCTTCCCTCTCTTCCGCCTGCTTTTTTGTCGCTTTTCTTGCGCCTGCCAATTCTATCGCGAACTTGCCTCACCTTGGCGCAGGCTACACAAACTTGCCCAGCTGGGCAGCCCCCTGACCTTTTACCTTCCTCCTCCCCTCCCTCATTCCTCTGTCGTCCGCTCCTTTAACTCTCACCGCAAACCATCCTCCTCTTCCTCCTCCCCCTCCTCCTCCCTCCTACTCTTGACCCTTCCGACGACGACTACGACGACCGCAACGAGTAGCAATCATGTCTTTCGGAAGCTTCCAGTCAATATGCGAGACGGCGAGTATACCACTCTGCTCGCTGGTGGGACCTTATGGCTCGTCGAGAGTGATGAGACCGGGCATCGAGGCGCTGTGCTACTCACGAAGCATAGAAACGGCAAACACAATCATTTTCCAGCTTGCTAACGACTTTGTTCATATTCTCGCGCTGATTATGTGTTCAATAATGGTACTTCACGTACGGTCGAAATTCACCGCTGTTGGTTTGTGGTTCCTTTTTTTTTTTTTTACTTGTTCTTGTTCCTTGCGTTCCCACGATTGACGCCCTCCCCCCTTTTGGTGGTTATTTTTATCCGCCATGATGAAAAGGATTGAGGCTAATACCGATTGACTTCACAATTTAGGTCGGAAGGAGATCACCTCATTCTTTTACCTGTTTATGCTCCTCACTGTCATTTCCCTCTGCCTTGATTCTGGCGTCATCCCCATCGGGTCGGCTCCGTACGCATACTTTACCGCTGTCCAAGCCGGCTTAACATCAGCCCTATGCACATGTCTTCTCATCAACGGGTTCATCGGGTTTCAAGTTTACGAAGATGGCACCGCGCTATCAGTATGGCTCCTGCGACTCTCGACGGTAGCAATGTTTATCGTGACCGGCGGCGTCGCAATTTGCACATTCCAAAGTTGGATCGGACTAAGCCCCACTAAGACTATGGCGCTCTTCGTCGTCCTCTATGTTGTTAACGCTCTTTTCCTCTTTGTCTACGTCGCCTGCCAGGTCATTTTGGTCATGGCGACCCTGGAGGACAGATGGCCGTTGGGTGACATCGTCTTTGGCGTTTTCTTCTTCGTCGTGGGACAGGTACTTTTGTACGCTTTCAGCGATAAGCTCTGTGACAAAGTTTCTCACTACCTTGACGGATTATTCTTCTCTTCTATCTGTAACCTTCTAGGTGTCATGATGGTCTACAAGGTAAGACTTCAAATACCCCACCATTTCCGCCAAAAACTAACGAGAAAACAGTACTGGGACTCCATCACAAAAGAAGATCTCGAATTCTCCGTCGGCACAAAAACCAACGTGTGGGAAGTCAAAGAGTTAATCCCGGAGGAAGACCGTCGCACGACCATCTTCGAACACGCCGGTCCCACTAGCGATTGCGCAACAAGCACATACAACTCGAGCGGGAATCGCGTGAGTCAGGGATATGGTGGGTTCTCTGATCGATACTAGCGCCCCCCCTCTTGACCCTATATCCTCCTTCTTTCATTGAAAATCTTGGGTTTTTCATGCTTTCTTATTTTTTTACTAGGGGCGTAAATGGCGTATAGACCTGTTTTCTTTTCTTGTTTTTGTTTAAATTTTTTTACCTCTTTGGTAGGGGCTTTGGCTGCTATCGTGCTCTACATAACCATTTATTTTCCCCTTCTCTTTCAATCTTGAGGGGTTGTTTTTATTTTACCGAAGATGGGAAAGGCAGACGGAAGAGCAAACATAATATACCACTTGGCGGTTTTAGATGTAGGATGTTTTTTATTCTTTTGGTGGTGGTGATTTTTCGGCTTCTTTTTTCTCTTATCACCCCCTTCCTTTATTGTAGGCAATGCCCGAGGAGGAAGGGAGTCTTTATATATATACCCTATCGCACTTACTCATGTTCACAATACCTGCTGTACCCATTGTATCCTACCCTCAGCACCTTTCTTTCTCTTCCCCTTTCCCCCTTGTCCTAACTACCCAAATACCATAGTGGTGTGATATCACCAAAACCGAGTCAGCACCAGAATTCAACACTCATATTATAATATACCTTTCCCTCTCCTTCTCCCCCCCCTTCCTTTCCCTATACCTCCACCAGCCTCATCGGTTAATTCGGATTTATTTTTATCTCATGTACCTATCCCGCTCAACACGAGCAACCGGTAATCTATGCGCTGTACTGTACTCATATGCTGTAGAAATATACACCACACTGTACCGTACCGATCTTTGCTCGTTTGCGCGGTTACAATTTTATATGATACCTGGGGTGATAATCGAAAGGGCGCAAAGCAGGGGAATTGCTAATGTAACTTGATAATACTGTATCCGACGTAAATCGGTGCACCGCTGCCGATAAATTACCTAGCACTA